CAAATGCAGTTTATAAAGTAAGGAAACAAGAAATGACCCGTCGACATACCTACCACCAAGCGGTAAAAAAGGCGGCGGATACTAGAAAGGAGTAGTAGGATCAGGCGCCAACACGGAAAGGTACCAGATGTACGCGGCGGCGCTGCGGTTGTAGGGAATGGAGGATCCAACCGGCTCCGAGCGTTCCGAAGGCCTTCGGCGAGCAGCTTTGTCTGGCGGTTTGGCCGTTTCGCGGTATGGCAGCGCGAAGTGGCTCCCATTCTGAACTGACCTTTACCCCGCGTTTGCTGTCGTTTGTGGCCAGTGAAGTGTCATGCCGAATAAGTGTTTAATCGCGCAGCAAATGCGCAAGGTGAGCCGCCCTGGCTGCCCGCTGCATGCAGCCTATCCAAACATGCTTTAGTGGCGCCCTCTCGCGCCGTCGACACGGAGTACGCAGCCGTGAGCGCTTGCGTAGCTCACTACCCCTCCTCTAGTTCACGGCCACTCAAGCAACGAGGGCGTCATGAAGGAGGTTATTTTTTGCTTGTTTTTGTAATTTTAATTTTCCTATAACTTTTAAAATAAAGCGAAATTCGAGAAAAGGAAAGTTTCATTAAGTTACTACGACGGAAGTCGTCCACGTCGGGCGCCTCAAGCCGTACTACGCGCGATAAGACTGTGAACTGTGATCTTGTGCAACGCTTGATAGGATTGTGTTCTGCCAGCTTCCGTATTTTCCCATTCTTTTGTTTGTCTTGCTCTGTTCTGTTGCCTTTCATGTGGCATCGAGACGATGCCTTTTTAAAGGGGGGGGGAGAGTAATGCCACGCGCGTCGACAAGCGAGCGCGTGCGTGGCCGACACACGTGGCAGGCGATTTAAGAGAACAAGCAGAAAGGTGGTGCAATGGTGATATGTGAATGTTTAGCAGAACCACAGTCTGTAATGTGTTTTGCTCGCGAAGCTGTGGTATGTACTTCAAGTATCACATTGCGCTCCAACCAGTATTCAAAAAATGCACAGGGTCTTCGCAGTGTTTATCTGGAAAAGTGTGGCGGTACCAATGCGTCGAGACGATCTTTTTCGACGAGTCTCACAAGGTCGACCAAGGCGGGCGCACATTTTTATTGGACAGATTGCCTCACGTTTCCTTTGTTTGAGGGACCAGAAAAACCCATTTCTTCAGGTCAGGTTACAGACAAGACTGGCGGCGCGTTTGCCAACCTTCATTGTCTCTTCACGAATTGGTCCACCTGCAAAAATGGCTGGCTTTGTGTGAGCGCTTTTGAATTTTTGACGGTGCGGTACTCGCTCTAGTACCTGTCTACAGTAACCCGCCAAAAACTGTCGCGTGATCTCCTTGAGAGTCTTTTTCCTGTACCGCTGTACTGGACAGTGTATGCGGATGGGCAAGCTCAGGATGTCCTAGTCCGCGTTAAAAAGATGATCATACCCCTTGCTTCTGAATCTTTCTTTTTTCGACTGCACAGCGCCACATTCCCTGTTCAAGTGTGGATGGGAGAAAGGGGTATAACGGTGCCATGGGGTGTTAATTGCCTGCTATGCAAACAACGAGAAACAACTGAGCATGTGTTCATTGATTGTTGGGATGCGGTCTTTATGTGGGTTAAGGCACTCAACGCACTTTGAAGAAAGAATTGTGTATAACTGCGCAGTCCATTCGTGTCTGCCTGTGGACGCGAATCACGGCGTACCCTATTATATGGTAATGGTTTTGGCCCTGTTAGGTCTTTGGAAATCACGAATGATGGTACACCGTGCTATGCCCAACCCGGAAACTGCACCCATGTGTTTCACTGATCTCGTGACCCAAGTGAAGACTCTATACGATATGAATGGGAATGATGCGCCAGAATGGGCACCTGTATTAGAAAAAAAACAGTCCCACATTAAATATTTTTAATCGACGGCTGCCCAAAGGACCCGGGTAATCTGTTTTTATGTACAAAATAAAAAAAAAAAAGCGCGTGCGTGACCGTTAGGTTACCGCACTTGACTCTCGTGCGGTAGCCCAGGGTTCAATTCCTGGGAGTGCCGCGCCTTTTATTTTCTCTCAATTTAGATTTCTCGTAATTTCGAGAACCGTGTTGCTTGTTCTAGGTAAGAATCTTCTACGCGACGAATCTTCTAGGCCGATTGTTCCAGAAGTCCGCGCGTATACAAAAGAGACTCCGCGTGGCGAGTCGGAGTCAGTCTCTCCCCAGGGCTCGATCCTGCAGTTTCGCCGACATCGACGCCCGCGACGCTCTGCTATTTTCTTCTGTTTCCTTTTTGATTTGGGCACAAGTTCGCCCCATTAAACGTCTAGTTTATTCAGTTATTATCGCCTCATCAATGGTCATTCGTGATAATATGCCAAGTTTCACACCAATCAGGAATCACGTTTATGTCTCTCAGGAGCTTGATAACATCAGAATCATAATGAATTTAATGATGAATGGCACAATCATTGGCAAAAAGGTTAATTGAGAGAGAAATATTATTCGGCAGGTCATTACTGAAGATTAAAAACAGAAGTGAACCTAGTACAAATCCCTGAGGCAAGCCGGAGGTCACTGACGCGAGCGGAGATGTATGGTTATTTGCGGTAACGAAAACGAGTAAGAAAGCACTTGATCCAAGTCATAACATTAGCATCAATTTTAAGGTTCTGTAGTTTCAACAAAAGCAACTCGGTGTGAGACTGTACCGAACACCTTCGAGAAGTCCAAAAAATACGCAGTCTATCTGGAACTTTTTATCAGGAACGGATTGCGATTCGTCAGTAAATATCTGAAGCTGGGTTTCGCAGGAAAATGAATTTCAGAATCCATGTTGAGCCCCTTTGAAAAACATGTTACACTTCAAAAATAACAAGCTGAGAATAAATGACATGTTCAAGTATTTAGATGGTATGTTAGAGGGTGAAATTGGTTTATAGTTGTTTGGGGAATGTCTATCACCTCATTTGTGCAACCGAACCACCTTCCTAACTTTCCAACCGTCTGGGAGGATACGGAGATCTAGCAGTTGTGTGAATATTTTTGACAGTATAATGGAAAATATACACTTTTTTTGTTTTAAACTTGGAGTTAATATTATTGACACCAGGACTGGATGATATATAAAGGTAATCGATTATTCAAACAATGCCAATGGGATGAGTTTCGAAATGTTTCATGGGCATGAAGTTGTGCTGAGGTGATGAACAAGCTGACATGTTTCTTACACTGCAAAAATATTTAACAAAAACCTCGTTTACATTTCTAGCACAGTTTTCATTAAATATAACACCATCATTCACCTTGATTAAAATTTCGTTTGAATTGTTCTTACCGATAATGTTCCAAAACTGTTTAGGATTAGTAGACAACACATTCCGCAAAGTCGGATTAAAACACACAAGCTTCACATCCTGAAAAGCAGATTAGTAAGCATAATATGCGTTCCGATAAGCCTCCCAACGTTCGAGTAGCCTGTGGCATTTGCAGAGCGAAAAAATATGTTTTTGTGTTTTTTGTTAGAAAGCCGTTTTAATGTCACATTAAACCATGGTGAATGAGTGTGTGATCTGATCGGACGGAGGGGAATGAATTTGTCCGTGAGCAGCGCCACTTGGCTCTTAAATAACGTCCAGTTTATTAAGGGTGCGTCTCGAAAAGGTAATTATAAAGTCACATAGAGAAATGGCTAAGTGGTTATTAATAGCTTCAAAGTTCGCTTTGCTACAGTCGCGAACGTGTTTAGTCAATTTAATGAGTTGTGCTAAGGAACAGTTAGAGATATGTGTAAAGAACTCGGATCACTGAGGCCTGGTAGATGAGATACTAAAGAAACAAGATCCGGTGCATTACTTTTAGCGACATCAAGGAAAATGGCTGACGAAGCTGTGACTCGTGTGGGTTCAGTGACGAGTTGTAAACTATTGAAATCGGCGCACAAGCTTAAGAAATTGAAACACTCAAAGGAATGACAACTGAGAGAAGGTCACGTATCGGACCAATCAATATTCGGACATTTGAAATCGCTTAACAAAATATTTGGGAATCCAGGAATCTTGCAGTAACCCTGTTTAGTGCATCATCTAAGTCATTGAGAAAGCCAGTGGAATAGTTAGATGGTCTATAACAAGCACAGAGAACAATTGTATATTCCCCGCTTGGAAGCAAACACAGATAAACTCAAACACAGTAACAATATTTACATAAAATGATTCAATATTCTCGTTAATTCCAATCAATACTCCTCCTCGTGATCTATACTCCCTGTCGTATTGGTAAAAATTAAACCTTTTTTCGCAAGCAAATATTTAATTGTCACGGATTCGAGACGAAATTCAAGTTCCAGTTAGTACTACGATATCAGACGAAGAATAGTCAATAGTCGCACACAGTTCATCACGCTTGTTCATGACAGTTCTTACATTGGCGAAAAAACAATGAAACGTTATGAAATGATTGACTAAGATTTCTTTGACTTTAACTATTTATGGGTTCCTATGGTGAGCGAGCAGAAGGCACTTATTCAGCAGCCGCGCTATTATCAGCATTTGCTGATAAATGCGCAGTAGAGATCACATAATGCCAAGTCACGTGGCATCATTTTCTCCGCCGACTTTTGAGGGGAAACTTAATTAGTCCATAGATAACGGGACGTCAGGTTACTTGACATCAATAGACATAAGTTACCTAACCAGCAAATTAGTTTCTCCGACAAATTTAGCAGGAAATTGCCCGGACTCACGTGCAGACGGCCAAAAGTTTGTGCTTGGGGTAGATAAAAAAAATTTAATTCTTTAATACACAAACTTAAAAGCTCTAAAATGTCTTCGGCTTTTAATGCGCACCCTGTAAAAATTAGTCAATTTACAAACTCAAATATAAACATGGAGAATCTTATCCTCGGTGTCTGAAGGTATGTGATGACTTTCTCTGTTTCATATTCGACAAATGACAGCAGGTGTCTCCGTTTTAAATCACAGCATATTTCAAAGCACAGTATATCTACATCAATACTCACGTTTTCACTGATATATACATCCTGTTTGTGGCATCTTGAAATAGACGGGGTCGTTGGAGTCAGGCGCGGTGGAATCGGGGGACCTGTCAAAGTGGAAAATGTTTCAAGAAACGCGCTCTACATTCAAAAGTATGAAAAGGATTGCGCAACAAGGACATTTTTCGCGGCCTCTTTTCATACAGCTACTCAGTGTTTTTCTTTAACAGTGCCAGTGTCATTTCGTTAAGCACGGGTTACCTGGAACTACTTGAGTAATGCGGATTCTTGGGCGAGTTGGTACTGAAACTTGGAGAACATAATAGCGCTTCACGACAGGGACGAAGGGTAGGAACAAGACAACACAATGCGCTAACTTCAACTGGTTTAATCGTCAGAAAATCAAAGGTATAAATACTCTGCATCATCGCGCCATTCAACCAATCCCAAGCCACGCCACTGATCGCAAAACTGTATCTCTTTGTCTGCCAAATCGATCGACGCCACGCTGACACATCGATCCCCGTAGTTTCTTATCAGGTCCGCCTCTATAATTTCCCTTACCGTCTTATCTCTATGTTTTCTAATGACAGTGCACAAATTAAATTCAGGTTTGCACCCACAGTCATGGCAGTGCATGGACAAATGACCGTCACGCTGTCCGCTCACTTTTAGGTTGTGCTCGCGCAATCTGTCATTCAGACATCTTCCCGTCTGTCCAACGTACTTTTTACCGCACGTCAGCGGGATCTCATAAACGACGCCTTCTGCGCAATCTACAAACGGGCTGCGATGCTTCTTCACGCAGCCAACCGGTGGTTTGCGGTAAGGGTCCGTCATTTTGCACAACTTGGCAAGTTTTTCGGGTGCAGAAAAAACCACCCGAGCGTTTAGGCGGTTTGCTATCCTTTTGAGATTGTGTGCCGTTTTGTGCATGTAAGGCACAACCGCCACTCTTTGTTTCTTTTGGGCCACATCCTGGTCTGGACTCGCTACTACTCGTAGCTTCTTTAAAACCTTTTCTGCAACCGACACCAGGAGCGTTCCCGGGAAACCGGCAGCCACCAAGCGTTCTGACTGCTCCTTCAGACCTGAAGGCATCGCATGATGACACGACCTTCTGATGGCGTTCACAAAGCACAAATTTACAATTCCTCTCCTGACAAGTTTTGAATGGGATGAATTAAAAGGCAACAGGGGCTTATTTGCTCTTGGTTGGTATTTCCAACACACATGTTGCTCCGAAAGTGTGAGCCTGATATCTAAAAACTGTATGACGTTGTCCACAGGTACCTCGTGCGTAAGCTTGAGAGGATCTAGGACGGTACTAAAAACTGTTAAAAGGCTGTTCACCACCAAGGGAAAGTGAGAAACGTCATGGGGAAGAAAAACTAAATAATCGTCGACGAATCTAAAAACCTTACTACCATTAAAGTCATTCAGGCGTTCCGAGAGAACTCTGTCATGATGGGCTAAAAATATATCGCTTAAAACTGGAGCTAAACACGAGCCAATACACACCCCTCGCTTCTGAATATACACTCCGCTGTTCCACTCAACAAAGGTCGAGTTTAGATAAAATGTAAGCAATTCGAGAAAGTCATCTACAGTCATTCCTGCTGCGTTCTGAAAGGCCACCACCCCGTGTTTATCGATGCTTTCCTCTACGCAGGTCAGTAGTTTGTCGTGCGGTAGGGAATAGTATAAATCCTTTATGTCAAGTGAGCAGGCTAGAAAGCCTTTGTCCGCGTTTGTCTTTAAAAAATCTACGACTTCATCCGAGCTTTTGACTAAAAACGGGTCGTCAATACAAATGGCTCCCAGTTTATCTTGCAGAAAGAGTGCTATCGATTTCTGCCATGTGCCTCTTTCCGAAACTATCACTCTTAACGGACAATCAACTTTGTGCGTCTTAGCGCTGAACATCATCTGTAGGCACTCGCTTTTGGTTTTGTCAATACTCTGTGACAACCTGTCTAATTTTAACCTCTGGCACAATTTTTTCCCCTCCGCCTTTAGCTTAGTTAAAGACACCTTTTGACGCTGCTTGAACACTGACGAAATAGCCTCAAGGGCCTTACTCCCGAATTCGGCTTCTGTTAAGACCACAAACCCTCCTTCCTTGTCGGCGGGAATGATAGACAATCGACGCTCTTTCAATAGCGACACCACACGCTTAACCGGAATATGGGGCTTCGCGGGTTTGTTATTGTTCCTAGACAACACGTCCACTCCCTCCGAGATACAACGTTCAACTTCGCCGTCTGGTGCGCACCTGGCGACTTGGCGGACCAGGCCCAAGAGTTCCGGAGCGTTCATGTTCGGCTCAACCGCAAACTTTGGTCCTAGAGCAAGAACTCGTCGTACATTTTCTGGAAGCTGCACGTCACTCACTGATCTGATGTCACACTTGGCCACTGGACGTCGCTTGGGTAGGGTGGCACGTAGACGATGCAATGATTGCTGCCAGAGGAACTCTGTGGTCCTATCCACGATGCCAAAGAAGTCCCTGATACGTCTGTTGTCCTGCAGGGGCTTGCTGGTGTCTCGAAGAACTGCACACAATAGGCTTCTGTACAGACGTGCTTGTTGCTGCCATTCCGTTCGTAGGATCTTCAGTATTCTTGTGCCGTGTCCTGCTGACGGCTCGAAGTTTCCAAAAAGCTGTTTTACTCCTGCCGGCAAGTGTCTGCAGCGGATGCAGAACGATAACGTGCGAGCCTGGCAGGTGGCATTGGTGATGAGCGAAGCGATGACGCAAGGATCCAATGAAGAACATATAAAAGGGCCCGATGTACTAGAAATGAAGTTGAGTAATGCGGATTCTTGGGCGAGTTGGTACTGAAACTTGGAGAACATAATAGCGCTTCACGACAGGGACGAAGGGTAGGAACAAGACAACACAATGCGCTAACTTCAACTGGTTTAATCGTCAGAAAATCAAAGGTATAAATACTCTGCATCATCGCGCCATTCAACCAATCCCAAGCCACGCCACTGATCGCAAGAACTGTATCTCTTTGTCTGCCAAATCGATCGACGCCACGCTGACACATCGATCCCCGTAGTTTCTTATCAGGTCCGCCTCTATAATTTCCCTTACCGTCTTATCTCTATGTTTTCTAATGACAGTGCACAAATTAAATTCAGGTTTGCACCCACAGTCATGGCAGTGCATGGACAAATGACCCTCGGTGGTGAACAGCCTTTTAACAGTTTTTAGTACCGTCCTAGATCCTCTCAAGCTTACGCACGAGGTACCTGTGGACAACGTCATACAGTTTTTAGATATCAGGCTCACACTTTCGGAGCAACATGTGTGTTGGAAATACCAACCAAGAGCAAATAAGCCCCTGTTGCCTTTTAATTCATCCCATTCAAAACTTGTCAAGAGAGGAATTGTAAATTTGTGCTTTGTGAACGCCATCAGAAGGTCGTGTCATCATGCGATGCCTTCAGGTCTGAAGGAGCAGTCAGAACGCTTGGTGGCTGCCGGTTTCCCGGGAACGCTCCTGGTGTCGGTTGCAGAAAAGGTTTTAAAGAAGCTACGAGTAGTAGCGAGTCCAGACCAGGATGTGGCCCAAAAGAAACAAAGAGTGGCGGTTGTGCCTTACATGCACAAAATGGCACACAATCTCAAAAGGATAGCAAACCGCCTAAACGCTCGGGTGGTTTTTTCTGCACCCGAAAAACTTGCCAAGTTGTGCAAAATGACGGACCCTTACCGCAAACCACCGGTTGGCTGCGTGAAGAAGCATCGCAGCCCGTTTGTAGATTGCGCAGAAGGCGTCGTTTATGAGATCCCGCTGACGTGCGGTAAAAAGTACGTTGGACAGACGGGAAGATGTCTGAATGACAGATTGCGCGAGCACAACCTAAAAGTGAGCGGACAGCGTGACGGTCATTTGTCCATGCACTGCCATGACTGTGGGTGCAAACCTGAATTTAATTTGTGCACTGTCATTAGAAAACATAGAGATAAGACGGTAAGGGAAATTATAGAGGCGGACCTGATAAGAAACTACGGGGATCGATGTGTCAGCGTGGCGTCGATCGATTTGGCAGACAAAGAGATACAGTTCTTGCGATCAGTGGCGTGGCTTGGGATTGGTTGAATGGCGCGATGATGCAGAGTATTTATACCTTTGATTTTCTGACGATTAAACCAGTTGAAGTTAGCGCATTGTGTTGTCTTGTTCCTACCCTTCGTCCCTGTCGTGAAGCGCTATTATGTTCTCCAAGTTTCAGTACCAACTCGCCCAAGAATCCGCATTACTCAACTTCATTTCTAGTACATCGGGCCCTTTTATATGTTCTTCATTGGATCCTTGCGTCATCGCTTCGCTCATCACCAATGCCACCTGCCAGGCTCGCACGTTATCGTTCTGCATCCGCTGGAGACACTTGCCGGCAGAAGTAAAACAGCTTTTTGGAAACTTCGAGCCGTCAGCAGGACACGGCACAAGAATACTGAAGATCCTACGAACGGAATGGCAGCGACAAGCACGTCTGTACAGAAGCCTATTGTGTGCAGTTCTTCGAGACACCAGCAAGCCCCTGCAGGACAACAGACGTATCAGGGACTTCTTTGGCATCGTGGATAGGACCACAGAGTTCCTCTGGCAGCAATCATTGCATCGTCTACGTGCCACCCTACCCAAGCGACGTCCAGTGGCCAAGTGTGACATCAGATCAGTGAGTGACGTGCAGCTTCCAGAAAATGTACGACAAGTTCTTGCTCTAGGACCAAAGTTTGCGGTTGAGCCGAACATGAACGCTCCGGAACTCTTGGGCCTGGTCCGCCAAGTCGCCAGGTGCGCACCAGACGGCGAAGTTGAACGTTGTATCTCGGAGGGAGTGGACGTGTTGTCTAGGAACAATAACAAACCCGCGAAGCCCCATATTCCGGTTAAGCGTGTGGTGTCGCTATTGAAAGAGCGTCGATTGTCTATCATTCCCGCCGACAAGGAAGGAGGGTTTGTGGTCTTAACAGAAGCCGAATTCGGGAGTAAGGCCCTTGAGGCTATTTCGTCAGTGTTCAAGCAGCGTCAAAAGGTGTCTTTAACTAAGCTAAAGGCGGAGGGGAAAAAATTGTGCCAGAGGTTAAAATTAGACAGGTTGTCACAGAGTATTGACAAAACCAAAAGCGAGTGCCTACAGATGATGTTCAGCGCTAAGACGCACAAAGTTGATTGTCCGTTAAGAGTGATAGTTTCGGTAAGAGGCACATGGCAGAAATCGATAGCACTCTTTCTGCAAGATAAACTGGGAGCCATTTGTATTGACGACCCGTTTTTAGTCAAAAGCTCGGATGAAGTCGTAGATTTTTTAAAGACAAACGCGGACAAAGGCTTTCTAGCCTGCTCACTTGACATAAAGGATTTATACTATTCCCTACCGCACGACAAACTACTGACCTGCGTAGAGGAAAGCATCGATAAACACGGGGTGGTGGCCTTTCAGAACGCAGCAGGAATGACTGTAGATGACTTTCTCGAATTGCTTACATTTTATCTAAACTCGACCTTTGTTGAGTGGAACAGCGGAGTGTATACTCAGAAGCGAGGGGTGTGTATTGGCTCGTGTTTAGCTCCAGTTTTAAGCGATATATTTTTAGCCCATCACGACAGAGTTCTCTCGGAACGCCTGAATGACTTTAATGGTAGTAAGGTTTTTAGATTCGTCGACGATTATTTAGTTTTTCTTCCCCATGACGTTTCTCACTTTCCCTCGGTGGTGAACAGCCTTTTAACAGTTTTTAGTACCGTCCTAGATCCTCTCAAGCTTACGCACGAGGTACCTGTGGACAACGTCATACAGTTTTTAGATATCAGGCTCACACTTTCGGAGCAACATGTGTGTTGGAAATACCAACCAAGAGCAAATAAGCCCCTGTTGCCTTTTAATTCATCCCATTCAAAACTTGTCAAGAGAGGAATTGTAAATTTGTGCTTTGTGAACGCCATCAGAAGGTCGTGTCATCATGCGATGCCTTCAGGTCTGAAGGAGCAGTCAGAACGCTTGGTGGCTGCCGGTTTCCCGGGAACGCTCCTGGTGTCGGTTGCAGAAAAGGTTTTAAAGAAGCTACGAGTAGTAGCGAGTCCAGACCAGGATGTGGCCCAAAAGAAACAAAGAGTGGCGGTTGTGCCTTACATGGACAAAACGGCACACAATCTCAAAAGGATAGCAAACCGCCTAAACGCTCGGGTGGTTTTTTCTGCACCCGAAAAACTTGCCAAGTTGTGCAAAATGACGGACCCTTACCGCAAACCACCGGTTGGCTGCGTGAAGAAGCATCGCAGCCCGTTTGTAGATTGCGCAGAAGGCGTCGTTTATGAGATCCCGCTGACGTGCGGTAAAAAGTACGTTGGACAGACGGGAAGATGTCTGAATGACAGATTGCGCGAGCACAACCTAAAAGTGAGCGGACAGCGTGACGGTCATTTGTCCATGCACTGCCATGACTGTGGGTGCAAACCTGAATTTAATTTGTGCACTGTCATTAGAAAACATAGAGATAAGACGGTAAGGGAAATTATAGAGGCGGACCTGATAAGAAACTACGGGGATCGATGTGTCAGCGTGGCGTCGATCGATTTGGCAGACAAAGAGATACAGTTCTTGCGATCAGTGGCGTGGCTTGGGATTGGTTGAATGGCGCGATGATGCAGAGTATTTATACCTTTGATTTTCTGACGATTAAACCAGTTGAAGTTAGCGCATTGTGTTGTCTTGTTCCTACCCTTCGTCCCTGTCGTGAAGCGCTATTATGTTCTCCAAGTTTCAGTACCAACTCGCCCAAGAATCCGCATTACTCAACTTCATTTCTAGTACATCGGGCCCTTTTATATGTTCTTCATTGGATCCTTGCGTCATCGCTTCGCTCATCACCAATGCCACCTGCCAGGCTCGCACGTTATCGTTCTGCATCCGCTGCAGACACTTGCCGGCAGAAGTAAAACAGCTTTTTGGAAACTTCGAGCCGTCAGCAGGACACGGCACAAGAATACTGAAGATCCTACGAACGGAATGGCAGCGACAAGCACGTCTGTACAGAAGCCTATTGTGTGCAGTTCTTCGAGACACCAGCAAGCCCCTGCAGGACAACAGACGTATCAGGGACTTCTTTGGCATCGTGGATAGGACCACAGAGTTCCTCTGGCAGCAATCATTGCATCGTCTACGTGCCACCCTACCCAAGCGACGTCCAGTGGCCAAGTGTGACATCAGATCAGTGAGTGACGTGGAGCTTCCAGAAAATGTACGACGAGTTCTTGCTCTAGGACCAAAGTTTGCGGTTGAGCCGAACATGAACGCTCCGGAACTCTTGGGCCTGGTCCGCCAAGTCGCCAGGTGCGCACCAGACGGCGAAGTTGAACGTTGTATCTCGGAGGGAGTGGACGTGTTGTCTAGGAACAATAACAAACCCGCGAAGCCCCATATTCCGGTTAAGCGTGTGGTGTCGCTATTGAAAGAGCGTCGATTGTCTATCATTCCCGCCGACAAGGAAGGAGGGTTTGTGGTCTTAACAGAAGCCGAATTCGGGAGTAAGGCCCTTGAGGCTATTTCGTCAGTGTTCAAGCAGCGTCAAAAGGTGTCTTTAACTAAGCTAAAGGCGGAGGGGAAAAAATTGTGCCAGAGGTTAAAATTAGACAGGTTGTCACAGAGTATTGACAAAACCAAAAGCGAGTGCCTACAGATGATGTTCAGCGCTAAGACGCACAAAGTTGATTGTCCGTTAAGAGTGATAGTTTCGGTAAGAGGCACATGGCAGAAATCGATAGCACTCTTTCTGCAAGATAAACTGGGAGCCATTTGTATTGACGACCCGTTTTTAGTCAAAAGCTCGGATGAAGTCGTAGATTTTTTAAAGACAAACGCGGACAAAGGCTTTCTAGCCTGCTCACTTGACATAAAGGATTTATACTATTCCCTACCGCACGACAAACTACTGACCTGCGTAGAGGAAAGCATCGATAAACACGGGGTGGTGGCCTTTCAGAACGCAGCAGGAATGACTGTAGATGACTTTCTCGAATTGCTTACATTTTATCTAAACTCGACCTTTGTTGAGTGGAACAGCGGAGTGTATACTCAGAAGCGAGGGGTGTGTATTGGCTCGTGTTTAGCTCCAGTTTTAAGCGATATATTTTTAGCCCATCACGACAGAGTTCTCTCGGAACGCCTGAATGACTTTAATGGTAGTAAGGTTTTTAGATTCGTCGACGATTATTTAGTTTTTCTTCCCCATGACGTTTCTCACTTTCCCTCGGTGGTGAACAGCCTTTTAACAGTTTTTAGTACCGTCCTAGATCCTCTCAAGCTTACGCACGAGGTACCTGTGGACAACGTCATACAGTTTTTAGATATCAGGCTCACACTTTCGGAGCAACATGTGTGTTGGAAATACCAACCAAGAGCAAATAAGCCCCTGTTGCCTTTTAATTCATCCCATTCAAAACTTGTCAAGAGAGGAATTGTAAATTTGTGCTTTGTGAACGCCATCAGAAGGTCGTGTCATCATGCGATGCCTTCAGGTCTGAAGGAGCAGTCAGAACGCTTGGTGGCTGCCGGTTTCCCGGGAACGCTCCTGGTGTCGGTTGCAGAAAAGGTTTTAAAGAAGCTACGAGTAGTAGCGAGTCCAGACCAGGATGTGGCCCAAAAGAAACAAAGAGTGGCGGTTGTGCCTTACATGGACAAAACGGCACACAATCTCAAAAGGATAGCAAACCGCCTAAACGCTCGGGTGGTTTTTTCTGCACCCGAAAAACTTGCCAAGTTGTGCAAAATGACGGACCCTTACCGCAAACCACCGGTTGGCTGCGTGAAGAAGCATCGCAGCCCGTTTGTAGATTGCGCAGAAGGCGTCGTTTATGAGATCCCGCTGACGTGCGGTAAAAAGTACGTTGGACAGACGGGAAGATGTCTGAATGACAGATTGCGCGAGCACAACCTAAAAGTGAGCGGACAGCGTGACGGTCATTTGTCCATGCACTGCCATGACTGTGGGTGCAAACCTGAATTTAATTTGTGCACTGTCATTAGAAAACATAGAGATAAGACGGTAAGGGAAATTATAGAGGCGGACCTGATAAGAAACTACGGGGATCGATGTGTCAGCGTGGCGTCGATCGATTTGGCAGACAAAGAGATACAGTTCTTGCGATCAGTGGCGTGGCTTGGGATTGGTTGAATGGCGCGATGATGCAGAGTATTTATACCTTTGATTTTCTGACGATTAAACCAGTTGAAGTTAGCGCATTGTGTTGTCTTGTTCCTACCCTTCGTCCCTGTCGTGAAGCGCTATTATGTTCTCCAAATGGAACTACTTGTTTTCAAAAGTGCTTGGGTTATGCCCTCGAGGCTTCGCAAACGGTGTTCTTCGAAGTGCTCGCTACTTCTGAAATTACCGTTTCTTTGTTGTTTGCTCATTTTAACCGTCAAGTTTTAAATAATTCAATTTTTCTCCTCACTTCTCTAAATTTTAGCCTACAATCATTTTGTTCAACTGACCCTATGGTTACGCCCTCTCCCTCCCTCTGTAATCATTGCGGGCGAGAGATAACCGACTGACGCTAGGAACTGACGCTAGGAACTGTAGCTAGAAGGGATCTCAAAAGAAGGTCGGCCTTACACTGTTTAAACAATCAGCATCTGATTTGCTCTTCTTTCTTAGGCAACGTGTCCAATTAACCATTGGACTACCATACTCGCCACACGAGACATTAAGCCTAGCTCTTCCCAGATATCGTTATGCCCCACATCAATAGAAATCCGCGCTTTACATAAAAATATTCAATTTTATTCTTACGTGAACGAGCGCAAGTGCCATTGTGACAGTATCCAACTTCAGCGATCCTTGTATTGTTAATAAAAGTCATATTTCGGTTGAATCGGACCTAAAAAGACGGAAATTATAATAGTGATACAGGTTCGTAGCTATACGCAGGGAACATTCAATTTTAAGGTCTCCTAAAATGTTTATACTATGGTGCACGCAAGAGAGAAAGAGCGCATATTTATCACAGGGCGTGATTCAATGTTGTGGCGTCTAAAGCCTGCCGGGCAGCACTTTGTAATGAATATAAACAATCCGGCTGAAAAATAAATCGGAGCGCTTCCTATATATTCTTCAAGAAGTTTGACTGGAGTAGGAAAAAGTTTCAGAAAAAGGAGAACGCGACAGTAGGAGAGCCACGGCGTATCAGGCCATGTAGATCCAAGGTCGGCGTGGCTGGTATTTCTCGTTTTTAGGAGGGAAGATGGCTCTAACATCGAGGGAGACCAGCTTTGGCCAAACATTATATGTACGCAACACTGTATGAACTCTTATCACCTAAATGAGTTCTGTACGCCGTGGTTGCAACATAACGTAGTATTAATCCTTAATTCCGACTGTCAACGTGTTGTCCCGCAATATATATATATATTTTTAGAACTTTCGAAATATTGTTGAGGAAACAGCATTTTCAACACATCTTATAAATTAAATACTCACAACGCAAGGTTCGCCATCGGGTCGATGGGGTCTCCTTCCACTTAAGCAAATCGATTTGCACTCGCCAATGACACCCTCGAGCTGAAGAGATTTCGTAAAAACGTTTTATTATTATTACTGTTCAATGAATTAAACTAAGTAATGATTGTGCGCGTCTATCTGCTTGTTTATAAGCTCATAAATTATCAAATGTTGACGTTAACTTTTTGTTATCACAACTAGTGTTAACTGTAGGCAGCTTCGGAATTACGTAGGTTCATAAAGCTTAACGATGAATGCCACCTTTCAAGCTTCACCGGGATAGTATGTCCAAGATACTGCCTGTACATTTATTTAAGAAAGTCCCATAAAATATTTCTTGTATGTAATTAGCGGTGCTTGTTTGGAACCGTTGACCGTTGACATTTGTGCCGACATTCTCTAATGTACTTTCTGCAAATGTTTCTCTTGTGCATTTTTGTAGTTAATTTTTTCAGGTGCACCATCAGTAAAATAACTCTTCCTAACCAAAAGCACAGAAATAGAAAAAGGGTATTATACTGAATATTACGTGGGACTTAAAGAAATTGTTTATGATACCCCGTTTCAGGGGTCGTCAGCAAAAACATACTATCAATGGCGCACCAGAAAATAAAACTCACTGTTAACAAATTTAGAGGGTCTGACAAAACGCATTCGTGGCGGTGTTTTCCCCTACGAGACCTCAAGCTATATCGTATAAACGTTTACGAGGATATAGAAAGGAAGAATTTATGCTTACGGAGCTATTGAAATAATAATATGATCCAAGAATGCATTCATCTGTTTGGTTTTCCGGAATGAAGCCACAGACTCCTTCCTCACACCTCCCATAGCCCAGGGGCTTTGTTCCATTTCGCACCTGTTCCAAAAAAAAAAAAATTGCACAGTTATCTGATTCAATATAAGTATTGCATATTGCCGCGCGGAGGGCCGAGCAAGCAACTTTGAGTCACAGACTTCTGGGGATGCAGGTTTTTTCTTACTCGGGACGTAACTTTTATCATATCGTTCTACTTCCTTGTTCTCGAAAGTGCGTGTTCATTTTCATCCCCAACGCTGGACGCTCGAAACTTCTGCCACGAATTTTTGAGATTCTGATGCTCACTAGAAAAGGAGCTTCGCGGGGCCTTTCCGAGCCTGTCTCGTTCTCGCTTGCTGTTACGCCCGCTTTTATGCTGTCTCGACGGTCGTTCTTTCTTTTGTTTGGCACAAGTTCGTCCTTTAATAAACTTTCAGTTTGAAACAGGATTTTCGCCGCTTCTTCTCCTGTCCTTCGTGACAATATAACGCACGAGGGAAGTTTATAAACGAATACTTTTGAGAGCCTCAACGCGACCCAAAGATAATTTTACTGGGCGATTTAGCTTTCTAAGCTCTGAAAAACACTTGTCTTTTAACAGACTTCGTCACTTTCAGACTTAAGCTGCATTTCTTTAATTTGAGTAAATACGACTAAAGCGTTTATTTATTTAATTTGAGTAAGTATGACTAGAGCGTGTCATTTAGTCATACCATTAGACACACGCTTTGCTACTTATACCGGTGGCATCCTCAGTTTACGTTGACAAAGATGAATCCAGTACCCAGCGAGTGAAGGGCTGGCCTCTCGCCTTACTTATACTGGTGTATGCTGAGAGAAATAACTATTTGAGGCATTCTGAGTGTGCTAGTTTCCTTTGTGTTATGTCAAGAAAAATGAACGCCATAATTTAGACTTTTCTTTGTTTTGTTTACATTCAACAAGTGCGTTTAAATGGTTCTCTCGCTGGACCAACATTCTAGGTGGGCAAAGAATAACTACGAGCTTTATAAAATTTCTATTGCACTCGTCGGTTAAAAGCTTACTAAGATATTGGTTAATCATGAATATTTATAAGTTTTTGCTCGCACTCATTCATGAGGTTGTTCTTTTAGGTAAATTTTCAACGTTTCTCAATCAGCGGTCTAACTTTTTTTTGCATTCTCATGTTACTAGCACATCCATTGAGACGCCACACTTTCATGTCTCCTTCTGAGGAACTGAGCGAAATTGAAAGTGTACTATTTCTTATTCAGCAATGATATTTTTATTATCTTTAAGCAATTGCGCCTGATATATCCTAAAGTTTTATATCCGGGCTGTATAAAAGTTATCACATTAAACTGGCCACGTAAACAGATGACAATTACAGTAAACACATCAGCAGAAACCCAGCTCAGTTTAGCAATAATTTTTAAAATGTAGGAATTGCAACTTTTTTTTAATTCAAAACTACGAAAACAATTGTTCCTATCTTACCTTCAAACGCTAAATATATTTAGTAAGTCCAAAATCAAGGACACAAGCAGTGGGTGATCCCACGCAAATGAGCAAGGCTTACAGATAACAGCTCATATTATTCGTTCGGCTTTCCAGTGCTCAGCAAATATTTTAAGTGGCCTAAACCTATTTATCCGGAGAGTAACGATTCATGAAATCGCCTGTCCACAATCGATTCACCACATATTTGCGTGTTCTACACAGCACTCCGCTACCTGCATAGAAAAGCTTTTTTTGTATTTTATTTAGCTTTTCATTTGTATTTTATGGTACATCAGTTTAACATACACCTAAGCGCAGAACTGTTTTGGAAGACCTCCGCCTCCTTCTCCGCAGCCAGCTGCGGGCCTATAGAAGTGCGCTTCCCACAGATAGCAAAGCACTGCGCTAGAGCGCTAAGCCAAATATGCAAAAAAGTCGTTTGATGGCCCAGGTATTTTATTTGTGGTACAATACGAAATTTCAGAATATAAAAGTTTCGCCAAATGACGGCCGATAAAGTTGTTTTCGTCCAGTGTAGCGTAAAACCCAGCCTCGATTCTGCATATCTCGATGACGCAATGCTGCACTCCCGCGATTTACACAATTATTGCGAGAAAATGGTAATGTATTTTACTTACCAAACACATTCCTCCATCTCTCTGAGTAGTCGCTCCATTACGGCATGTATGCTTGCATTTTAGAAGAACAATATCCTGAGTATAAAATAATATTTAACATATAATATTGCCAGGAATGACTAGTGACGAGCCAGGCATAACTGGCTGAACTAAAGTCTTAATGTGGCGAACTTGCGCCAAAACAAAAATGCACAACTTTTTTGCTGCACAAAAATGTACAAGAGAGAGACGGTTGTCAATGTTGACGAAACCGCAGGATCTACACTGCTAGGAAACGTACTTTTAGTACGGGACATATCTCTGCTAACCTTGTTGCCACAAGATGTTCCATATCACTAAATTACGGAACATGCACCATAATTCCTTATTGCGGGATTCTGTTATGGCAACAAGGTTATCATGCATGTGTCCCGTACACCTCTATTATGGTACAAGTGATGTTTGATGCTAGCTACAGGAAGTGTGCCATCATGATAAAAAAACAGGACTTTGTGTTGGAGGCAATATCAGCACATGTTCCGTTTTTACATAGTATGACTGCACACTCACCAGTTTGTACAATGTGTCTCCCCAGAAAAGTTGCGATTTTTGGCGGCAAAAATAAACTATGCATATCTGAACACTCTTTGTGTACCCAAACTCAACGCAAGCAGTCAGTACCAAATGACCAATTTTAGAGAATGTCGTTATTTCATTAAAACGGTATTAGTGATTTTTTAAACATTTTATATAGGAAACTATTTGTCCAGGAATACACGGTGATAAATTACACAAGTTTACAGGAAAGGGCCTTACGTTCCTTCCGAACTTTTCCAAAAAACACTGATAACTTTCGAATAAGACGGCAATTTTCTAAATATCGCCATCTGGTACGAACTGCTAGGGCTTCATTTGATTGGAGACTGAGAGTTTGGCTAGGCATGGTTTATTTTTGGGATAAAAAAGCATTTTACATGCTTTTAGGGGACACTCTGTATCATCGGACAGGTTTTGTAAGTCCAGCCTTGCAAGATGTAACATTTCTTGAAGGTCTCTGTATGCGCCGGTTGTGTCACACATGCATGGACAAATAGCTTGTGAAGCCGAAGTTTTTCATGATGTGTATGCCGCAGGAGAACCGGACGGTAGTAACCCCACAGAACGTAGCTGGGGAGATTTTTCGTAATAATTGTTCTGGCAAAAAGAAATATTTTTCGTCTTCGTACTTTAAGCAGAATTACAGTTTAAAAGCAACCTGCATAACCACTAAGTAACGTTTGTCGTTTAATAATGCTATAAACTTTTTTCTGTAACGGGTTTAAATTAACTTCGCTTGTGATGTACATTGAGATAATTTATTCTGAACAAAAAGTAAGGGCGCAAACGAGCTGGTGTATATCGCACATGGTGGAAAAAACCCCGAGACTGCGGGTAAACGACACAACAGTAAAAAGTCTCTATTTTTTGTTAGACACTTTTTACTGTTGTGTCGTTTACATGCAGTCTCGGGTTTTATTCTATTCGATTAGAATAAAAAATAAATAAGAAAATGAATATTTAAACGCTTAAATGTATTCTGTGTGAATGCCCTTCTTGGTCTTGGGTTTTTCTTTTGTTATATTGGTCTGGCAAATTCATGGTGTGTAAATTTTTTCACGAGCTCCAGATTGAGTTGTCATTTAGAATTCTTGACGGCTATGCCATTGTTTGCGCTAGAGCTAATAGGTCACATTCAAGATCTGTATTGCCGAATTCTAATATTAGGGCAGAAGAGTATACTTACACCAGTGTAAGTTGTAAAGCTTGGTAGGGTACACCTCCCGGCTTCCAAGTCCGCAGCAAAAACAAAACCTGAAGTTGAAGCACTTATGATTTGTTATATTCCGCTTAATTAGTGAGTTTGTTGGCAAGTCATAACCATATGACTTGTGGTTTAAGTTTACTAAAAACAACCATTTACCCTATAGACAGGTTAGTACAATTCAGACTGTTCTAGAGCGCTCTGACAGTTTCAGGTTTGCCTAGAAGAGCTTTTGAACATTATGTGGAAATGTTGGCGATGGTGGCTGTTCTTGCCTACTTCAGACCTTAAGGAAATCCTGAGTAATTAAAAGCAGTTACGCTTTAGTAATGCGTAACAATTTATGGAAACGTTTACAAGAATCTTTCTGCAAACAAACCGGAATTTTGTTCAGTGAACTCATTGTAATGTGACTTCCCACCGCTAAAGCACACAATGGCCGACAATCGTCTATTATGAAAATGTTTTCGAGAATTAGTTTTTTCTTTATTTGTTATAAAAAATATATATTTTCGGTTTCGTCTCTAACTCGAACTTGTGAATAAAAAGCGAATATTTTAGGTATGTGATATTTTAAAAACCTACATATGCGTTATTAAAGATAATACGAGCCTGTGAATGTGACAAAAAAGGACGTAGAAAGGAAAAAATGCATGGGTCCGAGTCTGTCGGACCTTTTTTGTAATCTTTCTCAGTGTGCGCGGCGATAATATCGTGGGGCCTAAATCCCAAGGCTTGCCCTAAAATTGTCCTGAATTATCGGCACTTGCACGTATCGACCTGAAATCCTCATCAAACGTGCACTCTATCAGTATGTTTTATCGTGTGAAACTTCTAAGCAATTAGACCTACATACTTTTAAGGAAAAATGGCGTTCATTGACATAGATGGCCAAGTTAGCGACGGTTGATCTTCTGGTAGTCACGTTCGATTAAGTGCACTGTGTGATCGCTCCGCCTATTGAGATATGGCACCAGAAGTATGCACCCGTTGCTAACTTGTGCGTCGACGCCCGGCGTCGACACCCGGCGTCGTCCCTCGAAGATTCCTTAATATTGCTAAAATTTCACAAGAATCATTTAACACGAAAAATAGCCCTTTGTATTGCTACTTGCAGGTACTGACGTTTCCGGCCATTTCTAGAGCCCGTTCAGAGACTCACGCCACGCTATATATATAAAAACAACTAATAATATAGAAGCTTATAAAAATACTGCATGTGGTACTATTTAAGATCGTTTTAATATTTTATTTAAGAGTATGATGGCCTATACAAAAATGCCTACATACGGTGATCTCAGAACATATATTTTCAAATAATTGTCACATATTTCACCTGGACGTTAGCAATATCGCGACTGCGCCTCCAGCAAGTACGGTGTCCGATTATAAAATGATAATTGTGTTCTACATGTATGCTGCGTAGTGTATAGATATCCAGAATTTCTAGATTGACCAAACGCCGGCCGTCTATAACGCTGTTGCTGAAGTCATAAGGTTTGGGTTTACAAATGACCTGCTTGACTGTCGAATATATTATAATGAAAGCAGTTCGGCACAATGTAGAGTAGAACGTGTGAAGAGAATTACCAGACCAAGCAACTAGCAAAAATTGGTAAGTGCTGTTTTCAGAGAAAAAAAAAATCTTTAATAGCAGTCATTTGGCACCAAAAAGTCAGCGTTGAATTATCTACACTGTCGTTGAGGAAATCAAATTTATGCACCACAAATTGCACTATTTTTAATGTTAATGTGTGAGACGTTCAAAGAGAAGAAAGGCGGAGGGAGGGGGGGTTACATTGCGATTTTTTTTATAGACGCCTTGGCGAGCGACATATGATAGAAGTTAGAAAAAGGAACGGTAAACACCAACCGGTTCACCGCAAAATAAAGCTGAAGTGATTGTGCCCCATGAACTAACCGAAAGACTTGCACAGAAATGCAAATGAACCAGGCATCTTTTTTTATCGGCGTACATTTTAGGTATTTGAGTATGAAAAATTTAAGCTGGGCTGAGCTAAATTTAAGAGATGGCGATGCTTTCTGGATTGGTTTCACTTAAGCCTAACAATAAATTCTGAAGGATGAAGAGAACAAGTTGAAAAAGTTGCCGCTTCGCCTTTTATTTAAATTAAGTTACCGGAATATAGATATGGACCTTTTACAGAACACCCTTCACGCCACGCGGCCCTCGAGCAGGCAGTTGGGGCATTTGAACAATTGGGAGTTCGACACTGTTTGGGTAAGTTCTTTCATTTTTTTTAAAGGAAAGTTTTAGAAACTTGAATTAGAGCTAATCCACCCAAGAGTTGACCCCAACAACTTTACCTGGAATCCGCAAGAAGACGACGAACAATATTGGATTCAGCATTCGCTTAGTGATTCTTCAAATACAATGTACCTAGGCGGTTTACAATCGTTTTAAAGATGCGCTTACACCCGTTCCTGCGCAGTAGTGCCAAAATATCAAAAGTGCTAGAGAAAGGAGGCGGGGAGACATTTCATGGCCACGGGGCTGTTGTTGTGGTGATTGAAAGCAAAGAACGCCCAGTCGCCATTGTTTGTTTGTACAAAGTGACTTCTCTTGTTTCAATTGCTGCGAGTGCAACCGACCCAAAGTTACGATGGACAAAAGCTAGCCACCTTTGCGCATTGTGTTACGGTTGTGTCACATATAGCCTACGTTTTCTTTCTTTTAGAATATGCAGTCCACTGAACACACTTGAGGGAGCCTCGTTTGGGGGTGTCACTTTTATTTACTGATGCCCTAGAAAATCTTAGTTGTACAACCTCGCTTTTCAAATACTCTGTAGCATCTATTTTCTAAAAAAAGATGCAATATTGTCCTTTAACTAATGTAGCACCATGATGTTTAATAAAAAACGAAAATAGACATTGGCAAAAAGTACAGTCGTTAAAAAAAAAAAAAAACATGAACGCAGCTTGCAGGACATATTGCTCTTCTAGCCAGCGATGTCAAAACTATGCGCATGCAAGTTCTGGCGTTGTGTCAAAGACACCCATGCGATGAACAAAGTATCTTAATGTTTTAATTATCTATAGCAAAAGCGGGTGAAAGCTCAGAAACCGCAAGGTATACTTCGCATCACCTTAAGTTCAGGCCAAGCTTCATGTACGTGCTTTAAAAATCATACACACAGTTGAGTACGAGAGCGCTGAGTGCGCTGTACTGCGTTTCGATTGCAAGTAATTGTGCTTTGTATGCCACATGAAAGGCTACTCCCTGAATTCGTTGCCTCGCCTCATGCGAAGTACTCATGATCCGATGCTTTCTCGACTCAGTGCAATCAAACGTAATCAAACGCAACGGCGTGTATGGGCCTTTGGTGAAAGAGTTTATGCTTTTATGTCCCCCTATATATGGCACCCTCATTGGAAATGCACATCTGAAGGTCACCTAAACGAAGCTATTACAGCTCCCTGGAACGCTCTTTTCAAACAGTGTGCAAATATATCTTCGTTACACGGGCATATTTAACCGCAGTTAAGTGCTACTGATGTCAAACTTAGCTACGCCGTGTAACTAATGTGTATTTGTTAGAGGTGCGGTAACTGCTAACAGTATTAAAACCTAACTATGGTATAGTATGCCCTTCGGGCACATTTAAGCGGACTTAAGTCTAACCTTAGTCAAGCTTAATAGCGGTCAAATCTGCCTGTTTAACTAGGGTATAAAACCACGACAGAGGAAAACGGTTTATACTAGAAATATAAGCTGCTTTTGCTCACATCAGGACACTTCCTGATCTAAAAATAACTCGCTGCACCAGATCTTTGACTGGTCGTCAACAAGTCATAATGCGCAAAAGCTAGTTGAAGCGCTTCAAACATATGCGGAGTTCTTAAAGCGCGCACTCCTCTTCCGCCAGGCACCTTTTAAAGAAACACAGGTGCTGCGTTTTAACCTCTTCAGAACGCATTGTTTAGTATGAATTGTTGTCAAGCGTGCATTCAAAACGCAAGATGGTCGAAATTCAGATAACATGTTTTGTACTTTGTTTTCGCTATTTGCGTGCTCGAGGAGGTACGGTGACTTTACTCAAGAAGGTCATGTCCGTACTAAATGTTGTAATTTTCGTGCACTTGCTTGCGAGTCTCCAAACAGGTGCTACGTTTTCTATTTGTATTTTTAGAGCCCAGCTCTTAGGCGCCGGTTTCCGACTTAAGCGGCGTCGCCCTCGCCGTCGGCGTCGGCGAGGCTTTGGCCGTCGGCGTAACCCCGCGTTGCATCATGGGAAGTTTCCCATAATGACGTCACATGTGACGTCACGTGTGACGTCACGTGTCACGTCACGAGGGAACAATTTTTCCGCTAGATTTGGCGGGAAATATTTCAGCAAAATTTAGCAGGAAAATGTTTCCTCCAAGTTGAGCGGATTTAGCTGGAAAAATTCCCAGCTAAATTTGCGGGAAAATTTGACTCTCGTGACATCATACGTGACGTCACGTGTGACGTCAGACGTGAGGTCACATGACGTCACACGTGACCCTCCCCTTCGTACCCTCGCCTCGTGCTCCTCAAGAGCTGCGTTCCAGTTCGGCTTTACAAGGAATTGTTAATGTCAAGTTTTTTTTTTCTAATATGAAGTTCTACTCATATCAAGGCACGATATTTATATTGCAGTTACCGCGAACAGCGCGTATTAAACGCATTGATACCGCCTACTGTATTTCGCTACCGTAAAGTGATTGGCTTGAAGTTATGCTTTGAAGTACGCTCTATTTTGTCTCGGCTTTTGTTTTAAGTTCCAACGCTTTACGAGTTTAAGAATCGAAACCTCCTTATATTTTGCGTCAAACGTCTGTTGCTTCCGGTGTTCGCATCCCCGAAAACATCACCGTGTCCGGATAAAGCTTGGCGTTTTATACTTGCTCTCGACCTTCACATAAACTAACCGAAAAGACCGCAGGAGCAATCTCGTTTCGTTTTATCATGCCTCGGCGGCATGAACTCTCGTGCAGCCGAAGCACAGACAAAGCTAGACCCGCGCATGCATGAAGAATTTGGGGTTAGCCCTCGTCCTGGTGAGGGTGGAAATGCACGTAAATTACACTAACTGTTAATTTCTTTCTGGGCTAGATAAAACCCTAATAAAAGTCATACCCGGGGAGAAGACGATATGCGGACATGGCATTTCAATTCGGACGACAGAACTCTGAAGGCTTGACTGTCTTATGTTCCTTACTCAGTATAACAATAAACATACCGGCAAATTTCCTTTCTTTGAAGTTTACAAGGCAGAGATTGGATGCAGCAATAGCTGTTCATAAATTTTCAAGGTGGAAGCGGTTGTCCCTATTCGTTTTTTTCTTCTGGAGCGCCTACGTAAGGGCTAATTGAAGAGTTAAATTTAGTATTTCCAATGCAAAAGTGAATTGGACGTTAGATAACTAGACATTGTTGCCTTTTTCAGCCTTCTTGATGTATTGCAACTGTGTTACGTGTTGTAGATGAGAACCTCAGCCCGTGTATAACGACTGCTAGCCTGCGGTATCTATCATTCATCACGCAGTAGTGAAACACTCTAAGAAAAAAGGGAGTGCGACCTAGTCTCTCCGTTAACAAATGCGCTGCCGCCGTTATTAGTCCCCTTGGAGACAAAGGGAGCGGAGCAAGTTTTGCGACCCTCCCGTTAGTCCCTCTAAGCTGAACCCCCAATACTAAGCTTTGCCCCTTTGCATTTAGGCCACTGGATATAAATCTTGCGCCATCAACTAACTGTGCCCTTACAGACCCAGGTGGCGCCAGTCAACGTCAAATTAAACTGGTCAGAAAGATTATTATCGCTAAGATAGGTTTTTGCGACGCTCTTTGCATTAACATTTGAACAGCGCTTATTTCACATTTTCACACACATGCCCTTAACGTAGACAAAGAATTAGGACATAGATGACACGCACTAACAACAAGCGCCCGACGACACGCTAATCCAGTCGCCACCCCTATAGGCTACATTTGCATTTGTTATACTGATGATTTGATAGAAGTCGTTTGGTCAGTGACCACCTCGTCTGTGAAAGATGTTAGAAATACGGTGCTGCGCCTTTGCACCAATATCGTCCTCCAAGATTGTTGCTAAACATTTCAAGGAATGTATCGCTTATTAAAAAGTAACAGTAAAGCACAGTAATTATTGGCGACAGCCTATAGACCTCTTTACCTTCCCTTCGCATCGGTGCGGCCATCTTGCAATCACATCATGCGGCCGCCACTAGGTTGCTTCAGCCCATTGCTCCTCTCTCCCCTCTGCACTTCAGCAAATACGTTGTATCTGTGTGTTTCGTCGCGTCTCGCCACGTTTTCTTGCCTTACTTGGTAAAATGTGGTCTGATACTTATACATATTTCCTAATTGTATGAGATCATTATGTGCGCAACTTCTGCCATCAATTCTTTAGCACGTCTGGAACATTTTCACCGTCGGGGTACTGAATATGCGTGTGAAGACGAGGCACAAGAATCGGGGTTAGCAGCTGAGGCACATTGATCATGTGGATTACTAAGATACCACGGGAGATCAAATGACGACTCAGATTTGCTTACTATTGCCGGCGGAACATTCGTAATGAGAAGCGCGTATATTTATGATTGAGTACTTATGAAGGTGACAAAAATAGCCAGCGAAAGGAAATGTGTTTCTACCGAAAGCATCTTTCTTTTTATTCGTAACAGACCGAAAACAGTTGCTTTGAATCAATGGGGAGCTCGTGGAGAAGATAGGCGAAAAACGTTTACTTTTCATTTGATCTAACTTTAGGAATAATCGTTTACCCACATCAGTTGATTCGCGTGTTCATAATGTCACACTTATATCTGTTGGCGTTCTCATTTTTTTATGCGATATAACCCTTTGCTTGATCGGCTTATTTTTCCGGGGATTTTTAAGAAACTGTATACCGTGCATGTTTCTATATCTGCAGTCTTTCAAATAATTTAATGATTTTTTAAAGATAGTCAGTACAATTTAATTATCTTTTTCCGACGAAACGGTTAGAGCTTCCCGCAAAAGAAACTGACACAAACAACATAAGTGTGTCTGGGGTCCCTAATAAATGTTGCTGAAAAAAATCCGCCTGCATTAAAATCACCCGAGTGCAGCGTTACCGATGGCTAATAGAGATCTTTTATCGCGGCTGGCGACGCCCGTATTCTGCATTGCTCCTCTGTTCAAAGAAAGAAAGATCTGTGTGCACAGGCCCATGAAGTGGCGCCTGGCGTGACACGGCAGCCAAATTTGCCAAAGTCATTTCCTTTAAGCCTTTCAATTTTATTTTGCAAATTTACGGAAGTCAAATGCGGGCCTAATTTGACAGGCCAGTCACCTATCTCAAATTTTGAGTGCGCCGTAAG